GCAGATGATTGAGATGGTTTTAAACAGTGGATTTTAATATTGAGATAAATTATTTAATGTTTTTGTATATGTATAATCTATTTATGTCCTGGCATTGAATGTCTGCCGTTTATATGTTGTGCTCCACCCTGAGTCCCCTTCAAGGTGAGAAGGGTGGGATATAAATGCTTTAAATAAATAAAACAAACAAAGTAACAAAACATATTAAAATATGACATATTTTAATTCTTATTAAGAAAGATGTTCCGACTATACAATCAAAGAAAATTATAGGGGGGAAAGAATTTTAGGATAACAGAACTAGAGCTGGAATGAGACTTCATGCAGCCAAGTCACATTGCCAAACTCTGATGATTCTCCAGAGCAAAAAAAGTGTCAGGAGGAGGAAATCTTCAGGGAGAAATAGTAGGACGGGACTAGAGGTGCATACCAGACTAGTGTTACTGCCAAAATTCAAGATTAGCTTGCAATTGAAATCTAGTAGGTTTGTAATAAAGCCAGCATGGTGTAATGGTTTGTGTTTGGAACTATGACTCTGAAGACCAGGTTCAAATCTCCTCTCAGCCATAGAAACTCACTGAGCAAGTCATACGCTCCCTGTCGCACCTCAGAATAGGTTCACCTTGCTGAAAACACCAAACTGCACACAGCCAGAAGTCTTTATGGTTTATTAAAAAGTAAAAGATAAAAAGTTCTTAAAAGCAAAAGTAATGTTCCAAAAGATCAATACAAAAGAACACTTTAAAGCATAATCCAAAAAGACACCAGCAAAGCAAAATCCCATGAAAACATGACTGAGTCCTGAAACCATGAACACAAGAACTGCAAGACAATCCAGACAAGCAAAATGCAAGCTTCTTGGTTAAACAAAAAGTTGCTCTGACAAAAAGCTTTGGTCCCAAACACACAGCTTAATACTCTTTGCAAAACATGAAGGAATTTCTTTGGCCTCTGACCTCCTTCTTGTTAGCTATTCTCACAATCCTTCGAACTCTGAATTCCAAACGTTCAGCTCGATCTAAGGTTCCCGTTTCGTCAAGGTCAGTCTGTTTGTTAGTGTTATCCAGTTTGCCTTCCTGCTCATTATCAGGCTGAGAACTGTCCTCCTTTTCTGAGTCAATTTGCACCTGCGCCTAGCTAGTTTCAGTATCAACAAGCTCATCTCTTGCTGTGGGAAACTGAACTTCCACACCCTGTTCCTCACTGACTTTAACAGGGACATTTTGAATCAGATTGTGATCCTGAATCCCATCATCCTCATCAGAGGCACTCTGTAGTTCCAGCTGAGTCACAACACTCTCAGGTTCAGCGGAAGGCAACTGCAAACCCCTTCTAAACAAATCTTGCCAAGAAAACACTGTGATAATTTCTCTGTGAATCAGAAACTACTTGAAGGCACATAACAGCGACAACAGGTTTATTATTCTTAAATGTATTAGAAATCCTAAAGTTGATATGGCAAAATCTGATATACACATACTTCAGATTCATATTAATTTATATTGTCTCTGTCCATCGACTTCATTAAATAGGCAAACCCATCATATTTGTGTAACAGATAACTGGTTTTGAGTTTATAATATTGAATTCTTAACTTGAGGGAAAGCGATACGTTAATCATTCTACAATTCTTCCCCACAAATTGCCTCTTTTCCAAATTGCTTTGCAAGAGAGACACTACTGCCAAGGTTTAGAAAATATACAGTAATAATCAGCATAATAGTTCCATAAAATAAATAGCAAAGAGGCACAACATCATGACAGCACTATACACATTAGTGTAGTCAACCATGGGTAAAAACCAATATAATGTTTATGCATCACAGTTTCTTGTTAATAATCTGTGCACTAAAAATGAACAATGTATTTATTTTATCTTTTTTATATATATCTTTGACAAAGAACAAGTAAACTTTCAGAAATTCAAACAATCTAAGTTACTTGATACAGACACAAATGTATTTTGAGTGTATCCAAAACAGTTATGGCCTGCGCTGCTCTTTCATTCAACCTCATTATGGGCCTACTTTATCACGAAACTTTACTCTTATACCTTTTCTAAGTAAGTATAATGAAAACACTGAGTTTTTATACAGTGCTCTGTTGATATCATAACCGAAAGTGCTTACTTTTCTCTAAAAGCAAGAAAAATACTGTATATACTCAAGTATAAGCCAAGTTTTTCAGCCCTTTTTTAGGCTGAAAAAGCCACCCTTGGTTTATACTCGAGTCAAGGTTGTTTATTATTTACTCTGTTATTATTTTTATTACATTTATTATTCTACTTTATCATTATCATTATTATTATTACATTTACATTATTTTATTCTATTTATTATTATTGCATTTATTATTTTGTTCTATTTTTATAATCACTTATTATTATTTTATTATTATTATTATCATTACACTTATAATTTTGCTGTATTTATTATTATTCTATTTATTATTTTACTTTATTATTTTTATTATATTTATTATTTTACTCTCTTTATTTTTGTTATTATTCCATAACAATGGAACCAGGCTGTGGCGCAGCTAGTTAGTAGCCAGCTGCATTAAATCACTACTGACTGAGAGGTCATGAGTTGGAAGCCAGCCCGGGTCAGAGTAAGCTCCCGACCATTAAGAGTCGAGCTTGCTGTTGACCTATGCAGCCCGAAAGACAGTTGCATCTGTCAAGTAGGAAATTTAGGTGCCGCTTTATGCGGGGAGGCTAATTTAACTAATTTATGACATCATAAAACCTTCCAGCAGCATGCGTAAGAATGAGGAAGTACTCCATCAAGGACTTGGTGTCATAAATGGACAGTGAAGCAGCAGCTCTCCCTGTGGCTGGAATTGAGCATACCCTCATGAAGCCGGAAAGCTGGAATGTCAAATTGCCTCTCTGTCTGTCTATATATGGCATTGAATGTTTGCCATGCATATGTGCATTGTAATCAGTCCTGAGTCCCCTGTGGGATGAGAAGAGTGTAATATAAATACTGTAAATAAATAAATAAAACGATTTTACTATTATTACTGTTATTATTACATTTCCATTTATTTTACTCTCTCTAGCGCTCACTGGTAGCCTCCACCCAGATAATGGAACAGTACCTCAATTTTTTTTTAAAAAAAAACAGTTCCTTTTGGAAACAAACTCCACAAATAGCCTTGAAGTCGCAATGATAATAACTGAATAATAAAATCTTTGCATACAATTATGCCATTGATGCCTGTGCTAGTGTTTTATGGAATTTTAGAAAAACACAGTTCATTAACAAACTCAACATAAGTACAGACACAAAATGGTATGGAATCTGTGTTGCAAACAAATACATATACGATACAGTCTATATACCTGCAGGAGTTTTCTAGGTCCTCCAGGTAATTCTATGTTATGTTAATGCTGGAAGATAGTACAGAGTTGCATTGGAGGACTGAACAAATTCCTAGAGATTATACCTTTTTAGGAATCTCCAAGGTCCTCCAGGGGGACTCTCTGCTAACTTTTGCAGGAAGTCATTCATTTCAGTAAGATTTGCTATTATCACAACTTCCCGCCGTACTTTAGATTTTAAAGTCACCAAAAGACAACAAGGTTTAATGCTGCAAAGGCAATCTTAGTCTTGGAAAATAATGGATTTAAATATTTCTAAAGCCAAATTGGAATTCTGTTGGTTAGTTCAAACTAGAACAGAACCCAGTCAATCATTTTTTCAATGGTGAGTGTGATGAATTGCCTATGTTTTAGGCCAGGGAAAAGCTCAGGAAATAGGCCCAAGTATTTCAGCAGCCATTTTGTGAGATGGTGCAGGGAGGCAGCCATCTTAGAGTACTCATTTCCTAGAGGGGGCAGAGCTTAGGAGCAGCCTGGAGGGAAATGTGCAGAGCCCTGGTGATTGGCTGGGAGAAAGTGGGTGGAGCTTAGTTGGAGTGCAGGAAAAAAATTGCCTGAAAGAATGTGTTTTAAAATCTGACAGTTTAGTCAGGGTGTGTGTGTTGAAGAAGAGAGTTAGGTTTTGGGAGAGAGTGAGTTAGAAGAAGAGAAGTTAGAGAAGCCAAAGTTGTTAGTTAAATTTTACAAATAGCTTTTAGGAAGAATAGCTGGTGTAGAGTATAGACAGATCCAAGGGAAAGGACTGTCTGGAGTAATTAGGAATTCTAATCAGAGGGAAGTCTGCTAGTTTCCTGAGGGAGTGAAGAGTTGTTTTTGGAACTAAGCCTTGAACCATAAGCTTCATCTCATTATTGCAACCATTATGTGTAAGTGCCATTATTTTTGAAGTTCACACAAAATAAACAACTTTGTTCTTTGTTCATCAACAACTGTCTCAGTGTGCCTCAATATAAAGAAGTATTCTTAACAAAACAGGGAAATAGAGTTTCCAGATTGGTGGCAGCGATTATTTAAGAGAATCTCATTGTTTGTTATCTCAGAGTTCTGAGTCCTGAGTGCGAATCCAGCACAATCTAACTTACATTAACCTTCTGGTTAAACAAGAACTGAAAACTCCTTTTAGTTTGGGTGGTTGCCAGTTTCCACACTAAGGTTACCTCAGAATATTGTGTATTGGGGCAAAGTCTCTGCAGCCTCCGAACGCTTAAGTCGTTTTTAAATAACAATCATCTAATACATTTGGTGACAAAGTGGTGGGATCTCCAAGCAAATGGTGATCCTCTTCACGTGGTAGATTACCTCTTCATTACAGTGAGCCAACATACAGGTTACTTTTATTAACTAAATGAGTCTAGTCCAATCAAGACTAATAAGGATTTATGCCATTTTGTGTTCTCATAGGTCTCCCCCCAAAAGGAAATGGTGTCTAATTTGAAAAATACAATCAAATAATATGCACAGAATTCTTTTTATAAATGAATGTTAAGTTTGAGTTCTAACCAGTCCAGTTGTGATACACATACTGGAAACCCGGTATATCAATTCCAATGTGAAGAAAAGCTTGAAGCCCTCGAATCCCCCTTCCGTTGTCATGTTGTCAATCTGTCTTAGTTACCTTTTAGCATGGTCTTTCCAGTTGATCCTCCTAAGATATTTAGCGAACCACTTCTTGCCCCCAACGACGTAGTTGCTTCTAGTAAAGCACCGCTAATGAAGTTTGAAAGAGAAGTCCTGTGTAAAGTGGTACGGTATTCAGAAGATCTGTGAATACATGATTTTGTGCACAAGTTGTCTCCTTCACACCAGCAATCTGTACGGTGCCGTGGCGTTAGTGGTTCCTTCACCGGGTGCAGAAAATATTTCAAAGAATCTTCTGTTTCTGTTGCTGATTTGAAGATCTGTCAAATACAAAGGAGAACACTTTTTTTAGATAATCATCTGGCCAGAGATGGGCTTTTTTTTAGTACTACAGAAAATAATCTTAAAATGCTTCTCTTAAGATATTATTTTAATCCAATTTGTTTAAGTCTGCCAAAAAATTACATTGAAACTGCTGGAAGAGCAAGAGATTGAGAGTCTACTAGTCATTGTTTCAAAGTGAGAAACTACATCAGTAGTTCCAAACCTGTGGTCCGTGGTCGCAAAACCTTCTTATAGTGCCAAGGCAATGGGTATGTCAGGAGGGGAGAGGCTGACTGTTCACGAAAGATTACTACAACAACAACAACAACAACAACAACAACACTTTATTTATATACCGTTCTATCTCCCTGAGGGAGTCTCAGGGCGGTTTCCAAGTAACATCACTGAAACATACAAAGTAAACAGCATAACATAAAATTAACAAAACAACATAAGCATAAAATTATCACAATAACACATGTCAATAGGTGAAACTTAAACACAAAATCTACTGATCTAGATCCATTTGGTACACAAGTTGCTGTGAAAAAAATTGTAAGAATTCAAGGCACTACCAACTGTATTTTTTATTTCATTCAGATTATAAGCAAGATCATCAACATCAATTTGGACAATGCTAGGGAAATATTTTAGTCCTTTATGCTACAATACAAATACTAAAGTCTACCATACTTGTTAATGCAGAACTTTTGGATCCATAAAACAAGTTTTCCCTGTCCTGCATCTCTCTATAAAGGTTTTAATGTATGTTCAATATTACGGGAGTTTTAGGACAGTGATTAGTGTCTATTTGTATATTTTCTTGTTTTGATCTTTTACTATTGATATGGCCAGTGGACTAATCAATAAACTTTACAACTTTACTGCTATAAAGGTTAAGGTTTTCCCCTGACATTAAGTCCAGTCATGCCTGGCTCTGGAGGGTGGTGCTCATCTCCATTTCTAAGCCAAAGAGCCAGAATTGTCCATAGACACCTCCAAGGTCAAGTGGCTGGCGTGACTGAATGGAGCGCCGTTACCTTCCCACCGGAGCGGTACATATTGATCTACTCACATCTGCATGTTTTCAAACTGCTAGGTTAGCAGAAGCTGGGGCTAACAGCGGGAGCTCACCCCGTTCCCCAAATCTGAACCAGTGACCTTTCGGTCAGCAAATTCAGCAGCTCAGCGGTTTAACCCACCGCGCCACCGGGGCTCCTGCATCTATCAATAGGCGGATATTATCTGTTTGCTAGCTGAGAATAACGTTTTATGCTTCTGATTAAAGAGTTGTGGCCCATGAAAGTCCACAATAAATCTGTTAGCCTTCAGTGAACTATAAGGATTTCTTTTGTTTATAAGTAATGGATCCAAAAGATCTGTACAAAGAGTCACCAACAGAATTCTAATATTTAATAAACTGAAAGACAACATAATCTGTGACTCGTAATGCTGCGGCAATTTGGCCTTTAAAGGATTTTTTTCCTCTTCAGATTGCAGAGCATCAACTGAAACTGTTGGTCAGTTACTACAATTAATCATAGCTGGCATTATAACAAGATAATGTACAAGGCTGGATTAGCCACACTGAATACTAGTTATATTTAACATTTAAAAAACTACTTAGGAATTCAACAGTATTCTAAAATTGCTACATTTTAAGAATAATTTATTTGGTTTTGGAACATAAAAAGCAGAGTATATGCTTTACGAATGGAAGATCCCAACCTGGATTTCTAGCATCTCCACAATAATAGTTTTAATAATAACAGGACTGGTCCGGCACCCAGGGCCCTTCTACACTGCCATATAATCTCGGTTATCAAAGCATTACCTACTTTGAACAGGATTACATGAGTCTACACTGCCAGATAGTCCAGTCCAAAGTGGACTGGACTATGTCCACTTTTCTGGATTTTGTACAGAAGTGCAGAAGGGGCCCATATGTCAGATGGGCCCTGCATGGTGGACCAATTAGGGTCCACTGAACTGCTTCAGAAGCAGCAGGAAGTCTTCTACTGAATATGCATTTTAAAAGAGTAGCTTGATTCATTTTAGAAATTATCATAAGCCATTTTAAGAGACACCAAATCCTCCAAGAGTCAAAGATTGGCCAGCAAAGCCATGCCTAGTCCTTTCCATTCAAAGGGAACATCTGCACTTAGAATCATTGAGTTGGAAGATACTTTGTAGGCCATCCAGTCCAACCCTCTGCCAAGAAGTAGGAGAATCACATTCAAAGCACCCTCGACAGATAACCATCCAGCCTCTGCTTAAAAGCCTCCAAAGAAAGAGCCACCACACTCCGGGGTAGAGAGTTCCACTGCTGAACAGCTCTCACAGTCAGGAAGCACAGTAGCTCTAAATTATTAAACATTGTTTTCTGTGGACGAGCAGATGGTGACTACTGGATGGCATATGGTCTGTATCAGAAACTAGAGCTGATGTGGTCTATCCAATGCAATTTTCTGCCCCAAATAACCAAACTAAATCTAAAGTTGACCTGACCAAAAACTGATTTGTAACCATTTTGGTATTAATGTTGGAGAGTGGTCCCTGGTCCAAGTGGTCTCTGGTCAAAGTGGTTCCTGAATAAAGTGGGCCCTGGTTAAATGGTCCCTGGTCAAGTGGTCCCTGGTTAAAGTCGTCCCTGGTCAGAGTGGTCCCTGGTCAAAGTGTTCCCTGATTAAAGTGGTTCCTCGTTAAAGGGTCCCTGGTCAAGTGGTCCCTGGTCAAAGTAGTCCCTGGATAAAGTGGTTCCAGGTTAAAGTTGGCCCTGTTTAAATGGTCCCTGGTCGAAGTGGTCCCTGGTCAAGTGATACCTGGTCAAAGTAGTCCCTAGTCAAGTGGTCCCTGGTCAAAGTGGTCCCTGGTTAAAGTGGTCCCTGATTAAAGGGTCCCTGGTCAAGTGGTCCCTGGTCAAAGTGGTCCCTGGTCAAAGCGGTCCCTGGTCAGAGTGGTCCCTGTTTAAGTGGTCCCTGGTCAAAGTGTTCCCTGGTTAAAGTGGTTCCTGGTTAAAGGCTCCCTGGTCAAGTGGTCCCTGGTCAAAGTAGTCCCTGGATAAAGTGGTTCCAGGTTAAAGTTGTCCCTGTTTAAATGGTCCCTGGTCGAAGTGGTCCCTGGTCAAATGATACCTGGTCAAAGTAATCCCTAGTCAAGTAGTCCCTGGTCAAAGTGGTCCCTGGTTAAAGGGTCCCTGGTCAAGTGGTCCCTGGTCAAAGCGGTCCCTGGTCAAAGTGGTCCCTGGATAAAGTGGTTCCTGGTTAAAGTTCTCCCTGTTTAAATGGTCCCTGGCCAAGTGGTCCCTGGTCAAGTGATCCCTGGTCAAAGTGGTCCCAGGTTGAAGTGATCCCTGGTCAAAGTGGTCCCTGGTCAAAGTGGTCACTGGTTAAGTGCTCCCTGGTCAAAGTGGTCACTGGTTAAATGGTCCCTGGTCATGTGGTCCCTGATCAAAGTGGTTCCTGGTCAAAGTGGTCACTGGTTAAATGGTCCCTGGTCAAGTGGTCCTTGGTAAAAAAAAAGGTTGGGAACCACTAGGGTAAGCAAAGGGAAACCAATATGGATCAGGAGTCTCATATGGAGATACTTCTACCACCAAACTGTTTTTTTTTTTCATTGTTCAAAAGTGACCCAGTCATTTTATTAAGCCTAGAGTGGAATGGGGTGTTCTGCACTTGCAATAAAAACAGATGGTAAAGATTTTTTAAAAATCCAAGTCCCTTGATCTGATCTTGAAGACTGCTGTGGGATGTAAGAGCCTGGAGTCCTTTTGAACCAGAGAACTTAACCGTGAATTAAAAACCACAGAGCCACTGATTTAGGAGGCATTCCCACGCACATTTGTTGTGAACATAAAAGAATGAGGAACCAGCCAGGAATCAATGGAAAAGGCTATAGTAACCTTGAAAAGGTCTTCACCTCCTTATCTTCCTCTCAGTTCAAAAACAAACAAAAACAAAACAGCTGTTGTTTATATGTTGAAAGCAATATGCTTAAGGAAATTGAACAAATTCCAAAAGAGACAAGAGACAAACAGAGTTTCATGGCGCTAACATTTATAACTGTTATCAGTTCATAGTTTTAGTTTCTGGCATTCATGAGTTATTATCCTTCCTGAAGGGATTAAATCCTGAGCTCTGTCACCACAGAGATAGATTTTTACCAGAGCTACGTTTGAAAATATGTTCTGATGTATATATCTTTGCTTTAGAAAGCAAAATGAAACTGGCAAGTAAATACAATGATTTCACTTTGATTACAATATTCTTTATGCTAACTAAAATGTAAATGTGCTTTACAAAAGATACAGTAAGCAGGTCCAAGTACAAAGCAATTTACAGTCTTAATATCTCGTGGTGGCGCAACAGGTTAAACTGTTGAGCTGCTGAACTTGCTGACCAGAAGGTTGACAGTTCAAATCCGCGGGATGGGGTGAGCTCCCGCTGTTAGCCCCAGCTCCTCCCAACTTAGCAGTTCAAAAATATGGAAACATTCAGTACGACTTCGTCAGAAAGGTGAACGGTGCTCCATGCAGTCAGGTAGGCCACATGACTAGGAGGTGTTTACAGACAACGCAAGCTTTTGGGCTTAGAAATGGAGCATCCCCCCCACCTTGGGCCAGAGATGATGGGGAAGCCTTTACCTTTATGTGTGATAGGGCGGAATACAAATAAAATGTTATTACATATTATTATTATTATTATTATTATTATTATTATTATTATTATTACTACTTTATAAAATGGTGAATGCATGGTATATATAAGTGACCATTTCCCTGTTTCGGTCTGTTACATTGTTGTAGAGTCCCTATTTTATTAGTATTACTGTTAATAAGAGAATTGGTACACAACTTTTTAGTTAACTACATTCAGCTAGGACACAGTACAAGTCCTGGACAGCAGTTTGCTGTCTGTTTTGCTATATTTACACTCACTCAGTCATCTCCAGAATACCACAGTCATTGGTATAATACATATTCCTTTCTAGTGTGCTC